TCCGCCTCATCCCGCAGCCAGCTGGGGTAAACAGCGCAGTGCCAGGCACCCGGGCACGGCAGCTCCCGGGCAGGGGCGAAGCTGCTGGGCTGGGACCACCGTATCAAAAAGGCTTTGGTTGTTTCTGTTGTGCCGAGGAGAGTTTTGGGGCAAACCACATCTGAAGGCGCTCGTGGCTCCCGGAGGAGTGGGAGAGGCTGGGAGCTTCCCACTCCCGCGGACAAACCCAGCTCAAACCGACTCGGGGAGCAGCTGAAAGAGGAAACAAAACCTGGGCTGAGTTTCTCCCGGCTGAGCATCCCCTGAATGCTCATCCCAGGATGCCTGGCAGCGCCTCTGGGCACAGCTGAGCTCTGCTTTCCCTCAGGAACAGCTGGAATTTGCATCCCAGGATGCTGCCAGAGCATGGCTGAATGGTCCAGCCACAGTGAGCAGGATGGGGGTCCAGGACCCCAAAACCGAACCAGATCTGACCCTGTGCCCCCAGAGAGCCCCACAAAGCTCCTTTGATGTTATACAGCATTTTGGAAACCCAATAATAATTAATTATTGCTAATTAATTAAACTATCACTGCAGGACCAGCCTGCGTGCCCCTTGCTGCCCGCTGGCACGGACACAGAGGTGGGGACACGTCCCTGTCCTCGCCTTTCCTGCCTTACCTACTACTTCAGGAGCCCTAAATTCCTGCCACGGCCCAGCTGCCTCTCCCAGGGCCCGCCCGGCTGCCGGGAGCAGCAAAGCCGGGAGCAGCAAAGCCGGGAGCAGCTCCCAGTGCAGGCTCCCACCCCCATCCCCATCCCCATCCCCGCGGCACGGGAGGACCCCCAGAGCGGGGCTTTGTGAGTCCCCAGCACGAGGATGAAGGCTTGGAGCTCCTCTCTGGATCATCCCAGCGTCGCCCACCCCTGGCTGACGTGGAGAGCCGGGTGCCTCAGCATCCCGTGGGGCTGCTGATGTTCAGCTGCCCGGGGGATTCTCCCACGTCGGCTCCCAAATCGGGCAGCGCTGCCCGTCCCCAGCAGCACGTGGGGATTTGGGGATTATCCCTCCTGACCTATTTCCCGGGGGGTGCAGCCGGGCTGAGCTCAGGGAACACTTGAGGAGTGCAGAGATCTGCAGATAGAGGAGCTCCGAGGTGTGAGATATCAGTAATTAATTCGCAGGTTGATATAGTTATGCGCTTAGATCATCATCAGCTGATCCTGCTAATCCCTTCTTGAGCAAGTCCCTGGCTGAGGGGGAGCTGCTGCCTGGCACTGCCGAGCTCCTGGCAGCTGGGTTGTCCCTGTGGCATCCCCAGGTGCCACCGAGGCTTTGGGGTGCCAGGGCTGTCCCCCAGTACCTGCTCTGGCCTTAAATCTGCATTTTCCTGGGGTGAGCCCTCTGCATCAGACCCAGGGCTGCCCCCCTTGAGCTGGGGGCTGGGACTTTCTCCCATTAATTATTTCAGTGATTATTAAAAACAGGTAATTGTTATCCTGTTGGCTTGGGGCTCGTGTTTAGCACGAGCTTCTCCTGGCCTCCAGCCCAGTTTTGGCAAGGAACACCCCCTATGTGCTGCTGGGTGCTGCTGCTTCTCACCAGGAACACTCAATTTTCACGAGTTCATTGTTAATTTTTAAACTCCAAGTCCTCTTCTCCCTCAGTCATGCCATGGAGTGGGTGGGTTTGCTTTGGGAAGGGGCTGGAATTGCCCAAACCCAGCTCAGAGCCCCATCCTGGGAGAGCAGAGGGGGGCTGTGTCCATCCCACAGCCATGCCTGGGCTCAGCTCAGCTCACAGCCCCCCACAATCCCTGGGATTCTGTGTTTCCATGGCTTTGTGGCCTTGGAATGCAGTTGGGTTCTTCAGGGCTGGTGAATCCATGCTGGAATTCCTGGGATGTGCCATTGGTGCTGTAGGTCCCAGCTTACACCCCACACCTGAGCTCAGCCCACTCTGTTTTCTCCCAGTCCTTCACACGAAAAACTCATGAAGCCACGACAGTGGAAAGTCGAGGTAACAAATACAAATAAAACTTCCTCTGGAGGCTAAAAATGACACCTGTAGACAGTGAAAAAAACTTCTCTGGGTGACAATAACAGAGCGTGGAGCTATTTCAGTGTTGGGCTGTTCCATTGCAGCACTCGGCGCTGGGGTTGTGGCTGCTCAAAACCAGCCACTTCCCCAGGGACGTGACGTGTTTCCTTTCCATCACAAACTGATTTAGAAGCAAAACTTTCTACATTTAGGCAGCTGAGAGGTTCAGCTTCTCTTTTCTCTCTCGCGCCAATGGTGAGCGAATGGAAGGAGAGATAAAGGGGGTGGGACCAGCACAAAGTGACTGTACGTGGCTTCCTCCTTGTGAGTTTTTTCCTTCACTCTTTCTAAATAATCGAAAAGTGAACCAGAAAACCACAATTAATATTTTCCACGCCGTGGAGGCCTCGTGTGCATCCCAGTGAGAGTTTGAGGTGCAGGGCTGGCCAAGGCTGCTGCGTTTGCAGCCCTGAGTGCCCCCAAAGGCCACGGGTGCCTGGTGCTGTGTCCTGGCAGGGACAATCCCACCACAGGGACATTGCAGCCAGCTGGGCAGATTCCTGACCTGATCATTCCTGTCCCCATCTCCATCCCCATCCCCACCTTCATCCTCATCCCTATTCCCATTCTCCATCTCATCCCCATTCCCACTTCCATTCTCCATCCCCATCATCATCCCTGTTCCCACCCTCAATCCCTATCCCCATCCTCAATCCCCATCCCATCCCATTTTAACTCCATCTCCATCCTGTCCCCATCCTCATCTCCATTCATGTTTCTCCATCCCCATCTCCATCTTCATCCCATCCCTATTCTCCATCCCCATCCCCAATCTCATCTCTACTCCCCTCTCCTTTTCCATCTGCACCTCACTCCTGTCCTTGTTCTCCATCTCATTTCCCACCTGTCCCCTCCACATCCCCACCTCCATTTCCATCTCCACCCCCATCTGTCCCCTCATCCCCATTCTCCATCTCTGTCCCCATTCCCATTTCCATTTTCCGTCCCATCCCATCCCATGCCATTCCCATCTCTATACTCCATCCCATTCCATTCCCATTTCCATTCTGCAACCCATCCCTTTCCCATTTCCATTCTCTGTCCCATTCCCATTCTCATTCCATTTCCATTCCCCATCCCACCCCACCCCACCTCACAGTGTCACACAGGGCCGTGGGTCACTTTGGCTCCCAGTGATCCCAATCCCAGCTCAGCTCCACTTGTCTCATCCCCAATTAAGCCCAGGAACAGCGGTGATCATTTCCTAGAAGGATAAACATCCGATTGCCTTTTCCCCACCAAAAATAACCACGGCAGCCACAAGGAGCCGAGGGCAGGGAGGGGAGGCTGATGGAGTTGGGCTGCAGGATGTCAGCCGAGCCCTGACCTCTCATTTTCACCCGAGCCTCGCTCCCATCTGCCGGGCCAATTACACCCTGCTCTGAGGGCAGGGATAGAAAAAGGAGAAATCCAACTTTAGCAGACTTCCATGACATCTCAGTGTCATTTCCTCTGCTGCTAATCTTAGCGCCAGTGGCAGCGGGGTTCATGTTTTTTTTTTCCCTGGGTTGTGGTGTTACCCAGCTTCCTTTTTTTGTTGCTTTCCTTCCCGCCGGCTCCTGCAGCTTCACCCAGCCTGGTGTGCCCAGGGCAAGGCTGGATCCTGCTCCTGCATCCCCCTTGGACACCCTGATCCTTCCTGGAGGGGACAGGGCTCTGCAGGACCCCTCTGTGATTCAGCCCCTCCGAGGCACAGAGGCACTTCCTGGAGGGAAAGTCCCGGCCAAGTTTAACCCCCCAGGCAGGACTGAAATTCACATTTAACCCCCACCAGTGCAGGACTGAAATCCATGTTTAACCCCACAGTGCAGGACTGAAATCCAGGTTTAACATCCCAGGACTGAAATCCATATTTCACTCCCCAGTGCAGGACTGAAATCCAAGTTTAACCCCCTAGTGCAGGACTGAAATTCACATTTAACCCCCAGTGCAGGACTGAAATTCACATTTAACCCCCACCAGTGCAGGACTGAAATCCATGTTTAACCACCCACGTAGGACTGAAATCCATATTTCACCCCTCAATGCAGGATTGAAATCCAAGTTTTACCCTGCAGTGCAGGACTGAAATCCACATTTAACCCTCCAGGCAGGACTGAAATCTGCTCTCACTGCCAGGGACCCAGGGAAGGTGACCAGCAGGATGGCACGGAGATGTTTTTTTGGGATCAGCTTGCTCTGTTCCAGACCCAGGCACTGATGCAGAGCTGAGATGCAGCAACCAGAGCATCACAACCCCTCTGAAGGATCCCAGGCCTCCCTGCCCAGCCCTGAGCAAGTCATTCCCTCGTGCCTCAGTTTCCCCTGCCTGCAGAACGTCCTGAGTTCCTGCTCCCCATGGTTTGTTCCAAGGGGAACATTATTCCTGGCCATGGGCAGGACAGAGGTGGCTTTGTCACAGCGCAGACACCGGGATGTGCTCTAAGGAGGAGCTGCAGGCGGGTGAATCTGAGCCTCGGAGAAAACTGAGTCTTAGATGAAAGCCTAATTAAGGAGCTAATTAAAGGGGAGGTCCAGCTAAGTGGCCAGTAGGCAGAGCTCTGCTGATTTATGCCTTTAATTTCGGTTTTGCTTTCCAAGAGAAACGGGCTGAGGGCAAAGGCAGGACAGGGCCGGGGCAGTGCCCCTTTCCCACGTGGTGCCACCAAAGGACCCCTGGACAGGAATCACTGCCCCTGTCCCCTGCTGGGTGGCCCCTGGGGTCACCTAAACGAGGGTCTGGCTGGCCACCCCCTGCTCCCATTGGCCACAGGGGTCAGCTCTCATCCCATGCAGATCCCAAAAAGCCAGACTCACCTGGCACTGCCCCGCGCTCCCTGCCACCACAGAGCCCTGTGTGCTCCATCAAAATTTTATTCAGGAAGCTGCAGGCATCAAAGTCCCCAAAGTGCCAGGGGGACATGCAGGGGGTCAAGTCAGAAATGGGGTGAAGGGGGGAGAAGGGGGGATGCCAGAATTTCTGGGATAACCAGGTGAGCTGGGACACCTCCTGGCATGATCCCCAGAGGGAAAGAGAACTTGGTTTTGGGAGGGGAGGGCTGGGGCTCTGGGCTGGGAGCAGGGTGGGTTCATCCTCAGTGGTCCTGGGGTCCCCTCTGCTCCGGGCAGAGGTGGCTCTGTGGTGTGGGGATGTGCAGGGCAAGGAAGGGATAGCTGGAGTTAATCCTTGTAGTGTTTGGTGAGGAACTGGGTCGAGGCCACAGGGTGGCCCAGGTGAAAATCCTCCACGAAGTCCTTCAGGTCCCAGGTGCCTGGGGAGAGAGGAAAAGGGGGTGAGCAGGGCTGGAGGACGGCTGGAGAGGGGAGCACAGTGTGCAGCTTCTGCTCTGCCCCAAACCACATCCTGCACACCCCAGGAGGCCCCAGGGACAGCGAGGAGTCACAGGGACCCCAGCTCTGAGCATCCCGGGGGTACCTCGGCTCCTCTCCTGCCCCCTGACCTTTGGAGCAAACCTTCCTACAGCTTCCCACGAGCCCACCCCGGGGGTGGCCTGGCTGGAAATCCCCCTGGGGATGTCACAGGACATCCCCCATCCCCCTCACTGGCATTTATGGAGCTGCTGCTCCACAGACTGCTGGAGCCGAGGGGGTTCCTCATTCCTGACCCTCCTCCCCCGCTGCCTGCCCTGACCCCGGGATCCCGGAGCTCTGGGGGCAGCTTCTGCTGGATCCAGCTGGGGGTTTTCCCACGTAGGCAGCAGGGAAACCCTCTCTGGGTCCAAGGGCAGGAGGGATTCCCTCATCCCCGGGCCCGTGGGGCAGAAATCCCCCTGTGCCCTGCCGGGGTCGGGCACCGAGCCTGTGTCTGGCTGGCGGCTGTGGGAGCGTCCTGCCCTGACTGGGGGGGTTTCCCTGGCACCCAAACAGCTCACGCTGCCCCTCCTTGTGGGCCACCGGGGAAAGAGGCCCGTTGTTTATCTGAAACCTGTCCTCTCCTCTTCCTGGCTGCTCTTTAATGTCACGCGGCAGCCTGGCAGCCTTTATCTGCTGCCACATCTCAGCCCCGACTGGAGCACAGCGTCCCCTTTGCTCTTGCAAAAGTGCTGAGCAAAACCTGAGCTGCTGCATCACCTCCGTGGGGTGCTGATGGCTGGGGGAGCTGGTGGAGCTCCCACCTGCTCCCCACCTCGGCTTTGGAGCTCCAAAAAAAGCTCTGGAGATTCCCGTGGTGACGGCACCGCAGCCTGGAGCTGCGGGAGGCCTGGCTGGGATGCTCCGGGGCCAGGGAAGGAGATCCCAGGATGCTCAGCAAGGACCCGCATCCCACATTCCGGCTGGGATGAGATGTCGGAATGCACTACTGCAGGCTCCCAGGTGTCCCCTGCCACCCTCCGAGGACACAAACCAAGCTGAGAGCAAGGACAGTCCCAGTGTCCCGCACTGGGGTCACCGCCAGCCGGGACAGAGCCACGAGCCCCAAATTCCACCTCGGCAGGAGGGGCAGTCCCTCACTTGGCGGTGTCAGCCCACCCCCCCCCCCCCCCCCCCCGTGCTGGGGGTCGCGATGAAGGTGGCACCAGGGGAAGGAGCCTCGGGGGGGCCGCTCCCGCTGTGCCGGGTGGGTGCCTTTCATCCGGAGCCTTTCAAAGCGCTGGGAAACCCCCCGGGAGAGCCGCGGGTGCCACACGGGGCTGGGTGAGAGCGAGACGAGGCACCCCCGACTCCCAGGGGTGCCGGAGCTGTCACTGATGTTCGCGGAGCCTCCGGAGAGGCGCGGATGAAAGGAGCCGGGGGAGGCAGAGCCTCTGCGGGGCTGCAGGCACCGGCCCCGGCCCTCGCCCCGCGCGTGGGGCCGGGGTTTTTCCTGACCTACTTTCCTACCTGCCCTGGCACCGGCTGTGCCCGGCCCGTCGGGCCAGGAAAGCCCCGGGGCAGCCGCGGGTGTGGCCAAGGGGGGGATGCACCGGGGGGTGCCAGATTTGGGGCGCCGGGTCCCCCCTACACCAAATCCAACCCCTCGGGTGCATCCTCAAAGCGGGTGCCCCATCCCAGCGTGACCAACTCCCTGTGCCAGCCATCCCAAACCACCCCAGCTGGCTCCCGGGGCTGGGGACTGTGAGTCACTGGGATCACGGAGCCGGGAAAGGAGCAGGGGGCCGGCCGGGGAGCCGAGGTCGCGGTGCCACTGTCCCCTCTCCCTGCCACAACAATACGGCGTTTCATCCGTGGCTTGGTCCGTTTTCAAGCTCATTTCCCAAAGGATTAAATCATCCCACTTGGCTCTTATCTGCTCACCCGCCGGAGGAAGAGGAGTGCCCGCTGACACCCACACGTGCGCGGCCGCCTGAGCCCGGAGCACCCGATGGGGAAACTGAGGCACGAGGCAACCGCTGGGCTCGGGGAGCTCGGCATCCCTCTGATCCCACAGGTTTCCCAGCGCTGCCGCTGTCTCCTGCCCACCCCCCAAACGCTGTCCCCTCCTCCCCCGGCCCCCCGGCTGTAATTTATCAGCCTCATCAGCGACGATGTTCTCCTGATGGGAGCCCTGATGCTTCTCTGCCAAGATTAATGATGTCCCAGCGGAGGTGGGCGGGAGGCCGGCAGCTCCTTTGGTCACCATTAAGTGACACCCGGGGACTGGGGCCGGCACCGTGTTCTCCCCGCAGCCCTTTGCCGCCTCCCGTCCCGGCCGCAGCCTTTCCCTCCCGGCCGGGGCCCAGTCCAACCCGATTTTCCAGCTGGGTGGATCGGATTGGAGGCGCACAAGGTCGGCTCATGAGTCAATGCCGCGGCCCCGATCCGGAGCTGGAGCTGGAGAGGGATGGAGCCACGGGCTGGCCGGGCTCATCCCCGTCCCTGCTCCCCAAAGGACTTGTTGCTTCCCGGAGGCAAAATTTCTGGGAGGAAAAAAAATCCACTCCCGGTTGTAAAACATCTTTCCAGGGCAGGAGGGGCTTTGGGAATGCCGGAGCTGATGGGAAAAGGTGGAAGCATAGGGATGAACTCAGGTGAAATTAAGCCTCAAGATTTTGTGCTAATTAAAGATCCCCCTCGAAGAAAGCTGTGGGGGAACTTTAATTCCCCAGCAGCACAGCCGGGGTCTGGTGGGTGCCTGAATTCCCCAGCTGAGGGATTTCCCGTGGATTGAGAGCCGCCCCGGGATGCGACGGCGGCTGTGACATTTCACAGACCACAAATTATTATCTTGCATCTCCCCAAAACACAGCCACGGCTTGTAACGCTTCTGGCTGCGAGGGAAGTGGGGTGAGTGGCAGGAAGAGCCGTGGGGACACCTCAAACGTCCCCACCTTCGGTACTGAGCGGGGACAGAGCTGGTGCTCGGTGACAATTCAGTGGCAAGGCCAAAAACTGAAGTGAATCAGAGTCCAGAGGAGAAACTGAGGCTCTGAGTTGTTTGCCCGAGGTCACACGGAGCCGGCTGGTGCCGGGATTGATCAGAAACCCTCACGGGGAAGGATCAGGGTGTTTTTTTTTCCCTGATGAAACAAGATTTTTGCTCAAGAGCCGCCCTGGAGAAACACCTCGGCCGTAAACACCTGATTTCCACATTGCCACGAGTGACAGGGGGACGTGTCCAGGTCCTGCAGCCCTTCCAGCACCCGACCTGTGCCCGTCAGTGCCATCCCAACCAGGACATCCCCACGGCAGGGTGGAAATGTCCCTGCTCCCTCTGAGCTGCTGGCGCTGCGCAGCCAGGCAGGGAGGGAGAAGAAACAAGGATTTGTTTTCCACGCTCGCCGTTGCCCCTCGCGCTTTAAATTCCCAGGGATCTTTCCCAGGAGCAGGGACAGGCGACGCGGGCAGGTCCTGGTGTAGTGCCCTCTTCTGGAGGCTCCGGCCGAGCTCCTGCCATCCCGCCTGGCACTGTCACCTCCCCCGGCTCGGCCACGCTCGGCCCGGGACCTTGCCTGGCCTGGCCGCCTGCACACATCCCGTGCCAGGAGGGAATTTTTCTGGGAACTGAGCAGAAACGCTCTGGTGGGGCTCAGCTCTGCCAGGGGACGAGCTGCCAGAGGGAGGGATGGCCAGCACAGGGATGCAGCACTGGAGGCTGGACACATCCCGAGGCTGGGATGGGCCAGTGCCCGCTCAGGACATGTCTCTGTCCAGGGCTGGTGGTGATGGGCGTCCCCAGCCTCGGTGAGACAGAGATGTCGCTGTCACCAGATGTAGGACGGAGTAAAAACAGCAAGGAGGGGTTCATTTGAGGCCAAATAAGATGGGAAATTCTGAGCAAGGATGCAAACTGTGCCTGCGGCATCGCCGGGAGAACCTGCACCGCTTCTGCTGCAGGAGAGGAGCAAGGCAGAGCCCGGGCTGGCTTCTCCTCCGTGATCCTTTGGGATTGGGGTCACCCCCTCCTTCTCCCAAAGGTGTCTGCTCCTGCTCCCCGTGTGCTGCCTGTGCAGTACAGGGCTGGATGCACCAGCAGATCCATCGGCGTTCATCCCACTGCCTTGGGGATGGATTTATTTAAAACGCTTGAGACACCAAAATCTCATCCTTTGGCTGCTTTTAGGGATCATTCCCTGGGAATAAAGATGATGGTTTGTCGGTGTCTGAACCCAGCAGCATCCTCCAGCCAGGCCAAGGATGTGATGCAGCAGTGAAATGGTTAAAAATAACATTCAACCGACTCCTTAAACACGAGCCCCTGCCAGACCCCCGCAGCTGCCTGACAAACGATGCTGAGGCATCGGATCCTGTGGAAAAATATCCAAAATATCCGCTGGGTCTTTCCCAGGAAGTGCGGGAAGGGCTGGGAAACACAGATGGGATGGGGACAGCGGCAGCTGGGGAATGCCCGGCCACCCTCGCCTTGGGGACAGCGGGGTGCTTGAGGCACCTTCCCCGGGGGTGACATCTGGGGAGCTGGAGACGCATATCCTGCTAAAAAGAGGATTTGTCTGGAAAAAGCTTCTTGGTGGGTGTCTCTGTGTCCCTTCCCAGCTCTGGGATGCTGCGGTGGGAATGTGGGGACAACACGGAGCCCCCTCCTCCCGGTAGGAATGAGAGGCTGGCAGGGGGGTGACATCAGCGGTGTCATTAAGAAGCGGAGCTAATGAGCCAGAAAACAAAGCCAGGGGCAGGGAGAACCCGCAGGGAGGCTCGCGGCAGCCTCATCCCGCTCCGGCCATGGGATGAGCACCACGGCTCAGTGCCGGGACCGGGGCAGGGGCTGTCCGAGAGCCCCCCGGAGCCAGCCCCCGCTCCGGGCCGGGCTCTGTGGGTTCCCAGGCACGGGGTGAGTCAGGCACAGCCTGAGCACAGCCCAGACACACCGACCTGACCTGCCCGTCGAGCCCTGCTCATGTGGTCCCAGCTGGGAAAGTTTTGAAATTTCCCTTGTGGAGGCCACGTGAGGCACAGGAGCCCGAGCTGCAGGCAGGGCAGGGAGGAGCCCGCGCTTGGCACCGGCCGGGATGGATCCCTGCCCGTGCCAGGCTCCTGCAGGCTGCCCCGGCATGGAGCAGCAGCAACGGTTCCCTCGGCATTCTGGGGATCTGGCCGCTCCATCCCTTCAGTGAAAGATTTTGGGAGGAGCCGGGGAGCTGGGAGTTGGCGGGCGTTGTGTCAGCCCGGTTTGAGCAATCCCTTGCTAAACCTTCTCCGCGGCTGATCCTTATCCGCCCGCTCCGAGGTGCCGCTGATGCAACTCCCGCCGCTCGGGCTGGGGGGATGTGCCAGCAAGGGCTGCATTTCACAGCCCACATCTCTCCCTGCTTCCGATCCCGCTAGCCAGGCCGTTACCAGACGTTTTCCAAGGGTTCCTGCTGCCTGGCAAGGATTTAACACCTCACCCACGTCCCCTGGAAGGATCCTTTTGCACCGAGCGGGCATCCCCAGCCTGCCGGAGCACGCGGCGTTGCCCACGGCCCCGGAAAAGCCCCTCGGGGCGGGGATGGAGGGCAGGCGGGTCCTTACCCAGCGACTGCTGCTCATCGGAGCTCAGGGAGATGGTCTGGTGCTGCGGCTGCCGGTACAGGCGGAACTGGTAGCGGTGGTAGCCGCTGTAGCGCGAGGGCTTGGGCCGCCCGTAATCTGGGAGGCAGAAGAGAAGGGCTGGGTGTCCCTCTGAGCCACCAGAACCAGTCATTCACCACCCTCCTCCAGGCTGGGATCAGCTCTGCCACTCAGCCCCCTGCACTGGGACCCCTCACAACACCCTGACCTCCCCTCCCTCCATCCCCTTCCCATGTCTGCACCCTCCCTGCTGGGTGCAGCCTCCCCTGGGCAGGGGGGACAAACCTGAGACCCCCAGCCCCCCACCAGGGCACGGCCAGCACCCCTTGGGCTGCCCCGGGGGGTCTTGGGGTCTGTGTTGTGCTCCAGGTTGGGAGGGAGCAGGGCACAGCTGCCCAGATGTGGGGCCTGCAGCTGGCTCAGGGCATGTCCAGCTGCTGAGCACAGAGGCTGTCCCTGGCAAAGGGACATCCAAGGGACGCACAGCACAGTCACCCCTCGGCCTCCATCAGGGACAGGAGGACGTGACACCGAGGGACAAGAGGCTGAAGCTCTGCCAGGACTCAGTCAGCTGCAGCCAGGTGAGCCCCCAGCCCCTCTCCCCTGGGCTGTGACCTCCCTGAGCCACGTCTGGACCATTTGGAGTCTTTGAAAGTCTTTGCTCCTGCAACATCACAGGAGTTGTTGGGATTCACCCGCTTTTATCTTGTCTTCTTCTTTTGGGTTTTATCCCTCCCCCCTCTTTTTGCACTGGTTTGGAGCTTTTCCAACTGCTGGGGAGTTTTTAAACCACTTTTGCCTCTAGAAAAAATAAGAGAAAAAGTGGCTCCTGTTTCAGACAGTGCCCAGCTGTGCCCTAGGGAGTTCCTTGTGTCCCCCCCTTGTGTCCCCCCCGGTGTCCTGGTGTGCCCACCCCAGCCAGCACTGTCATCCCCTCATCCCAGCTGGCTGAGACCCCATCCCCTCATTTGGGGTCTGCACTCACCTGTCAGGACCTTCCCTTTGATCTTCCCAACCCTCAGATCCGAACCCTGAAAGGACAAAAAAGAGGGAGCTCAGGTGAAACCGGCATCTTCAGGAGAAACACAGGGGGATGGAGCCCTCCTGCCCCCACAGCACTGCCTGCTTCTCCCCAGGGATTCATTTTCCAACATTTTGTGTGTTTGCCTTGTAAAGATCATTCTCTTCTTGTAAAGAGAATTTTCTCCAGGTGGGTGGAAGGAGCGTGCCAGGGCTTTTCTTTGGCTCTTTGGGATTTAGGGGCTTGACCCACAGTGCCCTGGCACAGGTGACACTGCTGTCACCTGCACACAGACACCATCCATGATCTGGAGATCCAGGCCAGAGATCCAGGCTGTGGCACCCTGGGAAAGCCACAAAAATTCTGTTAAAAGCCTCGGTGCTGCTCAGCACAGCAGCATTTGGGAGAGCTGGCCCATTCCTGGTGGGATTGTGGTGATTTCCAGCAGCAAAAGCTGGAAAAAATCTTTGGCTTTGCTCTCAACAGAAACTCCTGCTGCAGAGCTTGTCGCACTGGAGGCCTGGCTCTCCATCCCTGTCCTGGGATTCTTCCCAGGAGCAGGGAGCCTTTCCTGGGACACCGAGCATCCTGTGGGGACTGCATGGGTGACAAAGGGACACTGCCAGGAGCTGGATCCACATCCTGGCCCCGCACATCCCACCTCACCCCTGACCTGCTGTGCTATTCCCGGCCATTCCCAACCTCACAGCACTCGTAAATCCTCTCCTACAGCACCCGTTATTCCAGTCCTGCCCACACATGCTCCTCTGCCAGGCCTCCTCTGTCCTAACCTGCCCTGGGAGTTATTATCCCAAAAAAAAGATGCCTCAGATAACTCCCAGCAAAAGTGCACGTGGGGAGCAGGGTTCGGTGCCTCGGCTCCCCGCGATCAAAGCTTCCCTCTCCCTCCAAAGGAAACTGCTCTGCACTGAGTCACGGCCGGTGACAGCCTCCTGCCAGCTGCCCCAAAGGTCACCGGGGAGCCAAGAGCTCCCTCAGATCCTTGGATATCGTCTCCCCGAGTCGGGCTCGCCACCTTGGCAGCTGCAGCCGAAGCACCCCGGTGACAGGGAGCTGCTGAGTGAGGATCTGGGCAGGCCTGGGTGCCGGGATCGCAGCGGGAGGGGAAGGCGCAGCGCAGGATGTGAGGGGACAAGCACCGGGGGGTGCCGGAGGGGACACACGGAGCCGCGGGGCCGCTGTGGCCCTGCCCAGATGTGCACACCCGCGCCATCCAGATGTGCACGCCCGCGCCATCCAGATGTGCGCACCCGCGCAATCCAGATGTGCACACCCGCGCCATCCAGATGCGCACACCGGCCGCATCCAGATGTGCCCCTCCAGCCCACCCGCACGGGCTCGCCCCTCCTCCGCCCAGATGTGCACACGTGCCCGAGCCCTCCAGCTGTGCCTGCTCCCCCAGATGTGCCGCTGCCCGGCGGGGGGAAGCTGCCGGCGCATCCCGAGCTCATCCCGAGCTCATCCCGAGCTCGCCGTGCGGCCGGGCCGGCTGCCAGCCCCAGCTCTTCAAAGGCACGGACTGCGGGTTTCTCTCCGCTCCTGGCAGGAACGCTCCCGTGCGGGGACCGCGCTGCTATTCCTGGCTTTGCCAGGGGCTTATCGGGCCGGGCCGGGCCTCCTCCCGCTCCCCTGCCCGCTGATGTGGGCTGCCAGCTCGCCCCGAGATGCTGCGGGTTCCTCGCTAGCCCCGGGCATGGGAGAGTCAAAGGATAAAACTCCTTTTTAAGAGCAAGAACAGGAAGAGGGCGGGAGGGAGAAAGTCGGGATGAGCACTCCAAACCCTGCCTGCCTTTTTTTTTTTTTTTTTCTTCTTTAATAGTAAACAGCTATCCTGGGAGCAAGGAGCAAGCTCTGGGCACGGCTGCCGGGATACGGGAGGGATTGGAGAGGTGGGGTGTGACGCCCTGTGACATTTTCTCCTTGTTTTTCGCTCAGGGGATGGTTTGTCGGAGGAATAACCCCCCCTCCAGCCCCTTTCCCCTTTGCTGACACGCCGGTGAGGGCGAGGGGAGCATCACACTCCGGCAGCTCCCAAAGATCCCTGCCACGAGCCGAGCTAATGGACACTGATGAGCTGCCGCGTTTATTAATGCCCTTTTATGAGAGCATTAATAGTTCCTAATGACACCATTTGAGCTTCCCAGCCTTTTATCTCCTCTTTCTCTCTTTCCCCTGCCGAGGACACGGTGTAGGAGGTGGAATTAGATATTCCCACCCTCCGGTCTGTGGCGGGTGGTGTCGAGAGCTGGCGGGGCACGGGATGCTCGTGCAGAGACCTGGGAAGCCTGAAAAAATCTGTGCCACACACTTCGAGTGCCAAGAGCTGCTCTCCGCGATCGTTTCCTCGGCCAAAGGAGTGGGGAATTTTATCCCTGTCATTTCTGGTGGCCTGGACACCGAGCGAGGCTCCCTGGGAGCTCACGGCCAGCCCTCGCTGCTGCCTGCACGTCGCAGCCGAGGAAGGGGGGAATAAATAAATAAACACAGATAAATTAAAGGCAGTGAGTCACCTTGTGTTTTCCTCTTGATCTTTTTGTTTTCTTTTCACCCCCTTCCCTTTCTTCCCCCTCTCCAGAACGTGTCTGATCCCATCGGAGAGGAGGGGAAAGGGATGGGTGGCGAGCTCTCGCCAGCGATTCGCCCGGGCGAGGACGGAGGGTTTATGGAAAGTGGGTGTGGGAATCGGCACAATCGCTGGCAGGGGACCAGGACAAACAGATGACGGATGGGACCCGGGGAAGTGCAGCCGAGCAGGGCTGGGCTGCTCCTGCCTCTCCGGGAGCGCGTCCCAACCCGGCCCCGGGGACCTCGGGACACCGGGGGGGGGGCTCAGCCAGGTGCGGGGGCTGCATCCCATGGGAAGTGTCCGAGGGGCCAGGCCGGCATTAACCAACAATTATCCGAGGGGGAAGCTGATCCAGGCACCCGGGGTTCCTCCCGCACTGCTCCTCACCAGCAGGAGCTTGACGGGGCCGAGCGGCTTCAAAGCCGGCCCAGCGGGAGCCCAGATTTGTTCTCCTCAGCTCCTGTGATCTCTGGAATGAGGTCAGGATGGAGGAATTGGCTCAGCGAGCACAGGGGAGCATCCCGGGAAAGGTAGAGCCACTGGGATGGCAACCCAGCTTCCCTGCGAGGCTGGATCGGGGAATAAAAGGATGAGATGCTAATTGCAGGTGGATCTGGATCTGTTCCACCGTGTCCTTGCAGAGGAAGGTGAAATTTTGGGATTTCTTCCTCCCCACCAAAGCCAGCAGCAGTGGGGAGGACCACTCCTCCCCCAGCTCCCAGAACCATCCAGGCTCGTCCTGCTTTCCAACAAAAAGCATGTGAGCAAAGAGCTGATCCAAGAGAAACTCTCCCTCCAATCATCCCCGCGCTCGGGGAGGCCAGGAGGGAGCAGGGCAGGGCCCGGCCAGCTCCCAGCACTCCCAAACTCTGGCATTTCCCAGCTCAGCCGCCTGTTTGAGCAGCAGCTCGCTTCCAGAGGGATCCTGGTGCTGCATCTGGGGCATGGGATGCTCCCAAAGGGCTCCGGCTCGCCCACGCCGCCCCGACCCGCTCGCTCTCAGCCCAGCCTTGCTTTTCCCGTCAGCGTCGAGCCGGGGTTGGGTGCCTGAAGGAGCCTGTCAGCCCCGACCCTGCGAGTCCCTCCGTGATGAGAAGTGTCACATCCCATTATGCCAGCCCTGCTGTGCCGCTGGATTGTCGTGGGCTCTCCGTCGGGAGAGAAACCGGGAGAAAGAGGAAAAAATACGGAGAAGCACAGAAACGGTTCTCATGGAAGAAGCAGGGTGGGAGAGGCACCTTCCAGCCAGGATGGGAAAGGTTTCATTGGGAATGGCCTCCCCTGGCTGTTCTGTTACTCCAAAGTGGTTTTCTACAGCATTCCCAGGGCAGGGACCAGACCCCAGAGAGGTTGGATCCTATCCCACCCCAGATCCAGAGAAACCTCCCCTTCCTGCTGGAGACAGCCCAGCTTTCCCAACCCCAAACCTTCTCCTCAGCCTCCTGCTCTGGCGCTTCCCCGCAGCCCCAGTTCCTGGATCCTGGCGTGACTCAGGACCCTGGCTTTGTGCTCCGAGCCGGTTTCACTCTCCGGGCACAGCTGGAGATGTGGCCAGGCCATCCTGGACCTGAGGCAGGAATGATTCCCAGAATTTCCCTGCACCCCACGTCTCCTTCCAAACTTCCCACCCGCATCCTCACTGCCCAGACACTTTGCTTTGTAAGGAACAGGAGTCAATCCTCTCTCCAGAGCCTCCTGCTCCTCTCACAGGCTCCAGGGATGTCCAGTGCAGCCCTGTGGTCCCCAGGGAGGGTGGGACACATGGAATCAGCCCATCTCCAGCTGCCAACCTCCTTACCCAGAGCCCATTACTTTAATTGATTACATGTTATATTAATGGAATTCCACCCTCCCAAGCGATATTTGACTTGTTTCCTGTCAGTCTGCACCTGAAAAATTGATAAACCACCATGATCTGAGCCACATGCAGGCAGAAAAGAGTGGAGAAGGCACTTTTCCTTCTACAGGGGACTTTTCAGGGCAGATCCAGAACCTCAGGAAAGCTGAACCTGGGTGGGTTGGATTTGTCTGTTTGAGGATTGATACAGCCACAAGCACCAACACCGGTTGATTTTAACCCCAAAATCTTGCCAGGACACCCTGTCCCAGCAGACACTAACCAACACTGACAGCACACCCTCATGCCAAAAAATTCTCTGAGGCTTGTCACAACTCCTGGGAATCTTTGCTGAGGGTCCCCAAGGAGCAGGAGGGGTCCCATTGTCACCCTTGGGAGGCTCAGGTTGGAGCAGGCCTGGGGAGGTCACCTCTCCAGAACGGATCTGAAGACCCTCTCCCACTTTTCCAGGGTCTGAATTCCAAGGATTTACCCCTACAGCCTTTAGGATCCTTAGGCAGCTCTTGGCACGGCCTGGAAGTTTTTCTAGCTCACAATAAATGGGGAAGGCGACCATAAAAATATA